GCAGACTCATGAACACATTAATAATAAAACGTTCTAATTATTATTCTCTATTTTATTCCTGCAGGTTTGTGAAGTCACTCACTGGACCTCCTGATGAGTGAAGCAGGAAACAGAAACTCGTGGAGGACGAACCGGAGGAACCACCGGGACTCACCGGAACCGGCGGACCTACCTGCGCTCTACCGCCGGCGCTCCGCTGGACGTTCTCCGGACAGACGCGCTCCTCCGCCGGCTCCTCGCCGCTCTGCTCCTCCGCCGCTCTCCGTCGACACACCGGCGGCTCCTCCTCCTCCAATCAGCGACCTCCTCCCGTCCCCGCTCCGTCTCCATGGCAACACGCCTCAACATCCCGCAGCAGCCGGTGAGCGTGCTGCGCTCAAACAGAGAGAGAGAGAGAGAGAGAGAGAGAGAGTGTGTGTGTGTGTGTGTGTGTGTGTCTTTACACTTGCTGCAGCTCAGTTCAGGTTTTTCTCTTTAAACAGGATTCATTGTGTTTCCAGTTTTATATATTTTATATATTTATAAATTACAGCCCATGAAGCTGGAGCACCTTGAACACCTGGAACACCTGGAAGACCTGGAGCACCTGGAACACCTGGAACACCTGGAGCACCTGGAGCACCAAAAAAAAAAAATCCACCCAAAACATTAAACTTTCTTTTACAATAACTTGTAAAATATCATAAAAGCATGTTTTTAATGATATTTTTAATGAGATATTTAAAATTTTATCTCATTTTAATAACTTGCTCGTGTATTTAACAGATAAATAAATAAAACTGGTCGCTGGTGTTTTACAGTCGAGGTCTGTGACTGAGTGACTCTCATTAGTCCTGATGCTCCTCCATCAGCCATAATCATCTGCTGGTCGGAGATTCATTAACGAGGATCTGCTCTGCTGAACACAGCAACACAACGCAACAATGCAGCAACGCAACAACGCAGCAACGCAGCAACACAGTAACGCAACACAAGCAGTAGCTCAGAGCCTCGTTTGTTTCTAATTAGGTAATTAGTTGATCAGTGAGGCTGGATTCATTCATTCACACTCAGAGTCAGTTCAGGACCAGACGTTGTGTAGCAGCGTTGTGTAGCAGCAAATCTGCATCGTGCTGCGGAGCTACACAACAGACCAGTGTCAGTGTGTTCTATTTGTGTCTCTTTGTTGTCATTTGTGTTGTTTTATGTCTCTTTCAAGGTTCCAGGTTCCAGGAGTCCTGCTTTGCTCTGCAACCAAAAGTCAAAC